GATCCAAGATAATGAACATGCTAGTTGCACCAAAATAAAGTCAAGTGTTGACTTAAAAGAGACAACAAGAGGTCATGAAACTTGAAATGAACTTAATGTATGTGAACAAGGTTTGGACCTTGATCGAGCCTCCTGATGGAATAAAACCCACAAGTTTTTGTAAATAGTTTACAAGGAAAAGGTTGATATGGATGAGAATATCCATATATACAAAGCAAGGCTAGTAGCAAAGGTTAAATGTTGACCTTGGTGAAACCTTTCTCCTGTAGCCTTGCTGAAGTCGATTCGGGTTTTGCTTGCAACAGTTGCATACTGTGACTATAGGTTAAAAGAAGTCTCTTGGAGCCGAAATATTCGATTTGATGAAAAAGTCAAAGTGTTTGATTTTATCAAATTTAAAAACGAATTGTGTGTTTACAAGAAGATAGTGGGAACATTGTCGTATTCCTAATATTATAGAAAATGACATCCCTATGTTTCAATTGTTGAAATAATGGTTGTTAAAAGATTTATTGATGAATGATATGGGAGAAGCAACTTGATCTCTAGAGATAGATCTAGAAGATTGCGTAACTCATCCCAATTTACATAGATGAAATCTTGAGAAAATTTCATATGAAAAAATTGGTTTACTCTTAAACGATATGTTGGAAAGGTTCCAAACGTAACGCAATCGTTAATTCAATAGTAGAAATCTAATACATGATTATTTCAGAAGTAGCAAAGAGTTGCAATGTGGATCATGATGTTCATAAATGAACTTGGAGTAGTTCCTGATATTGTTGATCATATGTCATTGTATTGTGATAACAATAGAGCTATCGCGAAAGTGAAAGAACTAAGGTCTCATCAATTATCTAAACATGTATTAAAGCGGTATAATCTCATCAGAAAGATAATACGTAGAAATGACGTAAAGAGAAGAACGAATTCCCACATTTGATAATATTACAGATCCACTAACAAAGAGTTGTCATAGCATAAACATGATTGTCATGTAAACTCTTATGATATTGGATATATAAGTGATTGGATGTAGTGCAAGTGGGAGTTTGTAAGTGTTATGCCCTAGGTCTATTCAACCTTGAACATAAATACTTTTGATATATAATTAATGCAATATAATGACAGATCTATTATTTAATTAATAGACAATTAAATTAAATAATAGAGTCCGTAGATTCAAATTTTCGTAATTTGTTAATCACAAGGAGTTATGATTGTGAGATACAAATTACATATGATTGAATTTTAAATCGTCCGTGGTCGTAAGTAATAACGAGATACGGATATCGTTATTACGGATAGATCGTCACGTGTGACATTTCTTACTTGTGAAGTAAGTAGCTGATTTCACAAGTTAAAATGTGGTGACACTTAAATGAACACGTGGATGCTGAGAGATTCCACATGGATAATTATCTGAGTGTCAGTGGTTAATCTCTAACGTTTCGTAATGAGATTGATCTTTTTGACTTGAGGTTGTCATAGTACCTTATATGAGGACGGTCATGCTTTGATGGTGTTGGATGTTGCTCTGCCAAGGGCAGCTAATACGACATCGTTCAGGTATGTCAAGAATCATATGAAGGTTGTGAATGACCAATAGATGATTCGTCACTCTTAGATAGGAAGAGATTATGATCTGCGTTTTATTCAATTAAGTCGATAATGAAATCTTTGGCCAAAGTGTACTCATAAGTCGAAAATGAGTTTTCGGCTTATATTGACTTAATAGTGGAGTGAAAGATATGATCGATAATCGAGATTGATACACTTCCATATCTTATAATTGATCGGATCGTATTGACGAAGGGATTATAGTTTCACGGTAAACGAACAAGTTTGGTTACGTGACATTTCCCGTTACATGTATTGCCTTGACACGTTTTTAGATGTCAATCTGGGACGACGAGTGTGATTTGTGATAAATTAAAAGGGCATTTTAATTTATAAATTTTGATTAGATCAAAATAATATTTCACGTCGTTAGACATCGTGATCGAGAACCTGATGGTCGCACACAAAAGAAAATTGGAAGATTGCAATTTGTCAATTAATTAATTTAACAATCATTGGATGAATTAATTGATTGGGTTGGTTATTTATAGGTCCGAATTAATTAATTGGATTAATTAATTCACGGACCGAATTTAATTAATTGAATTAATTAAATATTGGATCGGATCAAGCTAGGCCCGTTTGAGCTTATATAAATACATGGCTAGGATTTTCAATCGATATAGTTTTATCATAATTTTTCTTGCTAGCACAAGAGGAGAAAATCCTGGTAGTTGCAATCTGTTTTCTGTGTGGATCACCGTTGGAGGCTGAACAATTGGATAACTATGAGTGGCAGATCAAAGCTGCTGAAACAAGGAAAAAGCAAAGAAGTTTGCAGATAGTGAAAATGTATCACTTTTATCACAATTTCTATCTAAACACAAAGATAAATTCTGACGAGAATCGAAATATGTGTTAATTTTTTGGTGTGCATGTTAAAAAGACTCCCAACAATTCTGCCAATGTAACGTACCTCATTGACTAGAAATTGCTCTAAAGCTTGCCACGGAATATTTTTATAATGTTATTATAGATGTTGAAATAACTGTTAACTTACCTATGAGACACCATGTGACGTCTTGTTAACGGAAAAGACCATAACTATACATAAAATTGGCCTTGTTATTTCATGGCATGTCACCCTCCACATTGACCGACCTCTTATCATCTCCGAAAGGATGATTAACATCAATTTATAATTTAATCTATTCCAATCAATAGTACTAACTATAATTTAATAAATTACCAGTTAGATAAAATTACTATCTATTCTTTAAATTTTTAGAACTTTAGAAATCTAATTTAAAATGTTTAGCATTTCAAAAATATGAACTTGTAAACTAATTTACCAACTTGAATTTTTTAAAATTCTTAAAAGATAAAAATGCTATTTTTGTTACCATAAGAAAGGATCATAGTTGGAGCAAGAAGGCGAGTACAAGGAAGAAACTTGGATAACAAGGAAAGACAATGAGGGAGAAAAAAGTTATCGCTCAATCCGAAGTTGTTCCTTCCGTTGCAACTAATAAATATTGGAATGCCTTTCACAATGATTATCATTCCACATAGTGGCAAATGGTATGCATGTGTGTGTAGTGCACGTTGAGCATTCTAGTTTTGTATAGGGAAAAGTTGAGAGAGAGAGAGAGAGAGAGAGAGAGCACATTTGCAGCTAACATTTTGTTTAGAGAATTGATTTGTTTAATCGGCATTTACTCATTTATTGTATTCATATTGCTTGCTTCTCGTTTCTGCTGCATTTGCCACGTGTTTTGGGCAATTTCTTACAACAAGTAGTATTAGTGCTCATGATTTATATTATAGGATTAATAAAGGATGATGACAATTTCAAACTCTGAGGTGCAGTTGTGGTCCTAGAGTCGCATTGAGGTGCATCTGTGGTGGTTGTGTCATACTAATTAAGTGTAACTGTCGAGATGAAATAATGCAAAAGTGGAGCAGTGGTGATCAAGTCACGCCAAGGATGATGTTTACTATTGCTAAAGATTGTGAAGAAGTGACCATGACACAATTTATTAGGGATGAGCATGATCCGGTTCGGTTCAATTCTAATGAGAATCAAATCGGATCCGAAATTTTTGGATATTTAGTAAATGGAATCGTCAGGTCCAAATTTAATTATGGAACTGTTTGGATTCGATTCCATACGGTTCTCGGGTTTCGTATTACAATTTTTTTTAATATTTAGAAAGCTACATTAATTCAATTAATGACATGTTCAATCTTAACTCTTACAAAACAACCTAATCCAATTTTATGTGTCTTTTGCATCTATGATAAAGTGATGCTTAATTACAATATGTCTGACTCTTCTATAAAAAATGTGATTCCTTGTCATTGTTATCGCTGATTTGTTGTCAAAAATATTCCATGACCTTCCTTTTCTTTTCACCAAGATCTTCAAAAATTATTTTCAGCCAAAATGCTTGAGATATGTCAAGTGCAGTTAAAATAAATTCAGCTTCCGCTGATAATTGAGCAACTGACTGTTGCTTCCTTGAGGATCAAGAAAATACACTTGGCCCAATATGAAATGCATAACTAAAGGTGCCTTTTACGTCATCTACACAACCTCTCAAATCACTATCATAGAATCCAATTAACTTTATCGGAGAACTTTTGAAATTTTGAATTCCATAACTCACGGTACCTTGAATGCATTTGAGAACTTTTTTACTGCTGTAGAATGAATGTTATTTGGAGAAAATGACGTAGCTTTCCCAAAGATTAATCATTTCATACTCATTATCATTTCTTTTTTAAAATTTTCAATCATTTCAGCATTGGCAACACAAATCATCAACATAAAATATCACAATAAGAATATCAACCATCCTCTTATCTTTTCACATGTAACTTAGGCTCGATTATGCTTTTCTCAAATCCGTTTTCTACAAAGTAGGTGTCAGTTTCACTATTCCATGCTTTAGATGCTTGTTTCAATCCACATAGCACTTTTCTTTAGCTTGTGCACATTTTCAAGACTATCATGCATTTTTTTTAAGTTTGAGGACCAACTTGCTAATGGGATAATAGGTTACGGACCAAAGCAAATTTACCAAAAGAAAAAGCAGATGTCCTCCGTTTGACCCCATTTTATGGAAGAACAATGCTACACTTACAAAGGTGAGTTACAAAATTGGTTGACAAAATAACATTTACACCAATTATTTTAAAAATAAATTTTTAAATCATTTCAAATCAATGGCCTTGATATTGCCAACACACTTTGTAATTCAACTTTTGTAATCCAATTTTGTACAAGTAATTTTATTGTTTATAGAAATGAAATGAGTGGAATAGTAAATTTTTTTTTTATTTTTTTTATTTATAAATGAGTGGATTACATGAAGAAAAATGAAATCTAATATAATGTAATTTAATGAATCCAAACGAGAGCTAAAAAGTCGGCATCTATTGCTCCACGAAGTAAGCGAAGTCACTAGAAAACGGCAGAGTTCCATACCAAGTAGAAAACAGCAACCACCACCAAAAAAAAAAAAAAAAAACTCACCCGCAAAAAAAATGGCAGCGGCAATGGGAGCTTGCCTGAATCATGTGTCCAGGGAATCCACTGACATTAAACGCCTTGCTCAGTTCTACATAGAGGTTTGTTCTCTTTCCCCCACAATCATTTTAATTATACTTTTCCCAACTCCATCACTATATAAAATACGTCTGTGTTTTTAAAAATTCTTGTTGATTTATCAACAAGAACACCAATTGAAATGGAAGGTGTTTATTTTTGAATTGTGGGTTTTAAGTTTTTGTATTCTTTAAGATTCAGTACTTTGTATTTTGGATTTCTCTATTTTATTTAGGGTTCCGTGATAAGAAGCATAGTCTAGTCTGTCATAACTTGACTATTGTTTTCATAGTTTAGGGATGTGAAATTTGATGTTTAACACGTCTAACAAATGGTGGCTTGCTTGAAAATCCCAATCTTTGCTCATTTAATTTTTCAAGCTTTGATATCGTACTTAAAGGATGGTCCAAGGATTGATTTGTTTTTGTGCAAGGTGGTATTTTACCATTAACATTCTCTTCATATTTTATGGGGAAAAAAAAAATAAAAACTGAAACAATATATGATTTTGAATCGTGGGTTTTTACAGGTATTTGGTTTTGAGCAAGTGAAGAGTCCAAAATTTGAATTTGAAGTTATATGGTTGAAGTTGGGTTCATCCTTTTATCTTCACCTCATAGATAGGGATCCCAATACTAAACTTCCAGAAGGACCGTGGAGTGCCACATCAGCATTGGCAGACCCCAAGAATCTCCCCAGAGGTCACCATATCTGCTTCTCTGTGTCCAATTTCGACTCCTTTATTCAGAGCCTTAAGGTGCGGTTATTATTGGTTAACATACTCGGCAATTATGATTATATATATCCCTGATGCAATCAATTCCTATTTATTAATAGAGACATCGATGTTAGATTTGGATTCAGGCAATTAGCATTGTCTGGTATAATTTATAGAAGTATAGTCAAGATATAGAATAAGAAATTTATTTGGATTAAATTAGGACGGGATTGTTATTTTGGTAATATGAGTATTTCGGCTTTATTGTTTCTGGTGAATGCAACGGAGTTTAGCTGTCCACCATTAAAAATCTAGCCACTCAATACTTGACTATGTATTCTGAATTCGAATGGTCGTTTTTGAACTCTTCCAGGCTATGGACTTTTTGCAAGTTAATGTGTTGCTTCAGATTGTCAAAGAATTTGTTTTTGAAGTAAGAAAATGAGTTCTTTGATTAAGGATCATGCTGAAGTTTTGTTGGCACTTGAGAGTTTAGGCTATTTGGGCTCATGTATGGAACAGTTCAGTGTAACTTTTCGTCACATTTCTTTGGTTTGAATTTGGAAACAATCCAACGAGAACTAAATCCTCAAAATCAACTGCTGTAAGATTTTCAACCACCTCTCTTCAAGTAGGTGACTTTCACGGTGCTTTGTTGGTAGTCAAGAAGGCCTAGTTAGTTAGGTGTCTTGTCTGAATTTGATTATCGGCAAATCCTTTGCTAAACCACACTTGCACGGAAATTTAAGGGGGGGGGGGGAGAGAGAGAGAGTTTTTCTTCTTATGCTTGGACTTCCAACATAGATAGATCCTTCACTCAGTCAATCTGAGATGGAGTTGGCATTTGGGGCTAAGGTCATATGCATGTTGGCTGTCTTCAAGTTTGAAACTCTGCTCTTTGTTAATTGAAGGAAGCCTTCAGATCTGAAAAGTGTATAATTTACGCGAATGTGTGCTTTTGCCTTGGTGTAAACAAGATTCATACGGATCATTGTTTTGTATATTGCGTTCTTCCGGCTTAGTTTGTCCAGAGTGTTATGAGACCTTCTAGTTTCTGTAATAATGTATACAGTTCAAGCTGTACCCATACCAGATGAGAAGCTAGAAACTGCAGCAACATTACCTTCCTTGGACGTACTCCAGCTAAATCCATTGCTCTTGCTGCAATATCATCCTTCAAATACACAAGTATTCACCTCCTTTTGGATGATGTGTATGATGAAGTTCTTTATGATTCGGAATTTATAGTTACATCTTCATAATTTTAATATCCTAGGGGCTAGTCAGGATGAAGAATTTCATAGAACTTTCACAATTTACATCATAGGCAAGTCCAAAGAGACTGCTTGGTTTAATCATGCTGCAACTTGTTTGATGTTGTGGAATTGCCCCCACTGAATTTCGAGAACTTTCAATTTTTCCCCTCCATCATTTTAGTTAATTTTTCCTTCAAATTTGTAGCTTAATCATCTTCTTGTGGAGAAATTGAAACTTTACTCAATGGTGCAGTGGAAATTACGAAACAAAGAATATCAGAGAAAGTGACGAAGCTCAATGTGTAACGACCTGGCCTGTGTATCAAGCCATTAACTTACGCACTGTCCCCTATGGGAGAGTTCGAGTCAATCTTATCTTATCACGGATTTTTGTCAAATCCCCATTATTTGAACCTTTGACATTTCCTTTAAGATAGACTTAAGTTGAATCCTGGTAACTATTGAACAATTTGCCTCGCATTTTTTGTAACATCCCATGCCTAGTTCCCGGCCGTCAAGGCACCAAGATTCAACTTAAATTTATCTTAAAGGAAATGTCGTGGGTTCGAATCTTAGAGACGGTACAGAATGGCTAAGATGGACTCAAGCTCTTCCAGAGTGAATAGTACGTAAGTTAATGACTTGAACACAGAGGTTGGATCGTTACACAATGTTTTTTGTCGGAAATAATGAACAACACCCAAACAGTGAAGCGGTCTTTAACAACCCCCAAACAATGAAGCAGTCTCTTCTTTTACTTAACTGCAAAATAAAGCACGCAATAGAATAGAAATAGCCCAGCAAATTAAAATTAAACCCAGTAGCAAGTTGCATGGCCCAATTCCTAAGTAGTGATTAATTATTCGCCATCTGGTGTTTGCCTCGTGTAATGAACCATGCCTTTGTATCTGATAATGACATCCACTTATATTTATTTTTATTTGGATTCTTATTTATTTTGTTTATTTTGGTTGGACTATTATTTAGTAGACTTGGCCCTCTCTTTATGGTTTTGCTTTGTTATTTAAACCTAGTTTGTTATGTAATTGAGACAGTTGATGATTATGATGAATTGAAATTGGTTGTGGTGTCTCCTTCTTCCCCTTTCCCCTGGAACTTCTGCCGAAATTTCTGCTGCTTCTTTGATTTCTTTCCCTTTCTTACTGCCATTTTCTTTATCCTACATCAAATTTGGTATCAAAGTTGAAACTTGGGTAATTTCTCATCTACATCCAAAAAAATTTCTTCCTATCCTCTTCCAAAAAAAAAAAAAAAAAATCTTGTAGAACAACGCAAACAAAAGAATTTGTTGCGAGGCAACCGTTCTTTTCAATTTTCTTTCCCAGTTAAAAAAAAAAAAAAGAAGAGTTACTGTTCACACATGGGGAAAAAAGTTCCGTTTGTGTTTCATCAGTTTATGGAAAAAATGAAAATAAAAAATAAAAAATCTAAAAACAGAGTCACACCCTGTTCTTTTTTCTGCTGCCAAGCAAGTGTGCTGCTATACATGCTCTAGAATATCAAGTCTAAACCAAACCCAATCAGCTCCCACATCCAATTATCCACAAATCTCCAAGCCCAATATTTATCCCTATATCACAAATAGCCTAAACCTAGTAATTGCAGGTCCATAAAACCAATTTCTATCTTCCAATACCCAATTCTCGCGGTCCAATTTCAATTCTCCATGTCCCAATACCACACCCAAGCCCATATATGATATCACTCACCAAAGCCCAAATACATACAACACTACACAGCCCACACCCATTTTCCCCAATTACACCAACCCAATACTTGAACATCTTCTTCCCCGTCAATAACCCAGCAGGCCTATATCTCCACGACACCGGTGCATCGCTCCCCGTCGGCATCCAGTCGGCCACTACTCCCGTCGACGCCACCCATGCCGACGACACCTTCATTACTGGCAATCCAAATTTCCACGACCACATCAATCATCGACATACACTCCCAACTTCATTCGCGACAGCCAACACCACAATTCTCGCCACCATCTTGCACCGTCTCTGAATCTAGCTGCAAATCCAACCCGCCAGCCACCGACATCACCACCCAACTCATGTTGCCTGCTTATAACAGGCGACCCATGCAGTAACTTTACATCTACCTTCGACATCATAGTAACCCAGAAATTCTACTAGCTTGCTAGCCACTGCAACCATTCGTTTTTCCACTGACGACACATCAATACCTTTACAATCGCCACCCTTGCTTTGTTATTTTACATGTATCAACAATATTAGTTTGCAATATTTGGATTTGCTTGATACCAAAAAAATAAAAAATAGAGCTCAAGTTGTTAGTTTCGTTACTTGTACATGTGTTTTATTGATTTCTTCATTGCACGTTATTTAGCTTGTAATACAGTGCATGCAGTTGCATAGTGATCGTCTTATCACTTCTAGTTTCAGTACCTCCTCCATGGAACTTTTACTATTTGATGCACTCACCTGACAAATAGCAGCTATCCAAACCCAAATGATTGCTACTCTTGAAGAGAGTAAGGCCCTCTCTGCTAATTTGAACAATTTTAAGCAAATCCCTTATTTGATCAACGTGGATAATTCTGAAATATCCCATAATAGACGTTATTGTCATCGACAAGGAGGTCGAAAATATTTTCGATACAATCGTAGTGATAGGGATCAAGTTCGTGGGAAAGAAAGGGCCTATGACCTGCACGATACTCATTCTCTTCCTCCTCATAAGGAGAGTTTCTTTAGAGACATTAAATTAGACACTCCTACTTTTGATGGTTGCTTAGATTTTGAAGTTCTTAATCAATGGATTGCCCTTAAACAAGTGAATCAGTTAGTGATTGAGTATATTGTTCAATTTGAGGAATTTTGAATGAAATGTCATGTCATTGAGGATGAGACCTTAACTTTGAGTAGGTTTATATAAGGTCTAAGAGATGAACTTAGGTGTGAGCTTTTCTTTTAAGGTGTCACAATTCTTGATCACGCTTACTCTTTAGCCCGGGACTGCGAGTTACTTATTAGTACCCCATATGAAAAGCCTAGTCACTATCATTCACCCATCTCATCAGCGCCACCTCCTTCTATTAAGTCCCTTCTACGTAGAGCCTTCCCCGTCTAGTATTCCTCCCATATCGATGCCACCTCCTCCTGTTAAGTCCTTTGTAGGACCTTCCCCATCTAATGCTCATCCTTTGTTGGAAAATAAGGTTTAAGATTTTGAAACTCCAATGACTCCTCAGTTACGGTGCTACAACGTAGGATTTTGGTCACAGTTCTCTCAAATATCCTAGTCAAACGTTAGTCATTGAAGAACGAATGAATATACTAGATGAGCGATTAGAAGATCAAATCTATGAACCTAAACTTGAAGAATTTGATGACTTTGATGATAGTGAGAACACTTCCTTAGATAGTATTCGAACTTTTCCTATGAATCTATGTATTGTACCCCTTGTTCCCGATACCTCTAAGTCAAAAGTTGTGCGTCATACTCTTATCCAACTTAAAGGTACTGATGATTTATGTAATCATGCCATTTTCAAGGAAAATCTTCGGAATTGGAATTTGATCCTCCCAACAATGCAAATTATATATAACAATTTTGTGAATCGGTCTATAAGTACAAGTTCCTTTGAAGTTATTCATGGTTATGAATCTAGGATAATTTTAGATCTTATTCCCATGTATCCACATGTTAATGTGTCTATGTCAGTTGTAGTAGTTGTAACACATCTTTATAACTTGCATATTGAGATCAATAAACAACTTGAAGCAAGTAATGCATTATATCAACTTCAAGCTAATTTGCATAAGCAAAATTTTGAATTTAATATTGGGAATTATTTTATATTGCAAGGCTGCAGTGTTGGTCCTTATGAAATTCGAAAGCATGTTAGTACAAATACATGTGTCATTGATTTTTTATCACATTTTGGCCACCACTCCGTTTTAACTGTTGAAGACTTAATTACTTACAAAGGTCGTTTTTATTGTTTTGATGATCTTTTTCAACTTTTATGTGGACCACCAAACCTACATATACTACCATTTTTACTCCAATAACACTCATCACAACACACAAAGATAAAATTGATGTTATTTTAAATGTACGGGTTGTGTTAACAATTGATGGAGAGAATCGGTACTCATTTGTTGGGTAGGTTGATGTGCTTCTTGTGCTCCTCATTATGTACAATCATATGAAAATCTTAGAGATGAGGTACATGAGTATTGGTTATTTGGAGTCCAGTATCAATACTTGGTTAGAAGGAAAGATCGTCCCCCTTGATTAGATCATATTCTTGGGAATAAGCTACGGCTTTCATTACTATCAATCATGAAATTTTGTTACTTGGTTCGTCAAAAAGATCTTTTGTGGTATGCTTGAAGTATCTTGGGCATCAGATTGACTATAGCCTCTTGTGATCTATCCACTCGACAGGGTCGAGTTTTCTTCCACCTTGGAATAGTTGACGAGGACATCCACTTATATTTATTTTTATTTTTATTTGGATTCTTATTTATTTTGTTTATTTTAATTGGACTATTATTTAGTTGGCTTGGCCCTCTCGGTTTTACTTTGTTATTTAAATTTAGTTTGCCATGTAATGATGAATTGAAATTGGTTGTGACGTTTCTTTCTCCCTTTCCCTTTCTTCTTGAATTTCTGTTTTTTCTCCGATTTCTTCCCTCATTCTTTCCGGTTTCTTTCCCTTTTCCCTCATTCTTTCCGGTTTCTTTCCCTTTCTTGCTGCCCTTTTCTTTATCCTGCATCAGTATCTGCATCACCCAACCACCTCTATCCAATACCCTTCTTTCACTATAACATGGTCTCTTGAGTTCTGCTTTACTGGGCTTGGAGAAGACACATCTGCCGGTCGATTCTTGGGATGGACACTACTCTCTCCATTCCAGGTCCCACTGCTCATTCCTACAGCCAATACCAATATACCATCCAACTCCCATTCCTGAGTATCAAACGAAATCCCTTGTCCCAGCGGCACAACCATCGGCGCCATTTTTGGTAGAGACTTAAGAAGTCTCTCTCTCCCAAATATGATGCCACTGTTCAACTATCCCTGACCCAGTTGTCACTGTTCCCTTGACCCAAGTACCAAAATCTGCTTCACTCAACTTGAGTCGTTGGTTCTAATTCCTTTGTCACCGGTTCTTCTTGCTACTTACACGAACGAGGCTTAGTTTGTTGTTGCTATTTATATAAATTAAAAAACAAGCTGAGGGCTTCTTGGGGGAAATCAATGAAAGGAAGTTCCTGTAGGAAAAAGGAAAGGATGAAAAAGAGCTTAACACAAGTTCACATTTTTCATTCTAGTTTTATTAAGATTTGCTTCATCTTTCCTAGCAGGAAAAAGGAATTGACGTATATGAGAGGGCGCACCCAGATGGAAAGACCAAGCAGGCATTTTTCTTTGATCCAGATGGTATGTTTTCCTTTACTGTATTGGTTCTAGACAGTCGTAGCCCAAGAAACAGATTTGATTGTATTGAATGTCCAAAAACATGAGAATCACGTTTTAATTTGTTCCATTGAATTATTGCTCTGCAGGGAATGGATTGGAGGTCTCTGGCTAGAGCTCCGTTCAATAAATTTGGTGCCCTTCTAAATGCACATGCTTCTGTGTGGTGTAATGCAACCATTGAAGCTCATTGGTTGTTACGTAGTACATGTTGAACGGCAAACTACTCTATTTAGGGATATATGAATTCCTATTTTGGTGTCTTTTGGTCATGAAATTTGCTGTACCATAGTTTATGTTCAGGAAAGAAATATGTTGTAATAAATGGCCATGGTTAATCTATATCTGTATTGTAGTATGAAATGGCTTTGGTAAGGTGGAGTATTAATAAGAAAGATGTGTTAAAACTTTCATTCATTGTACTGTCATTTTATCATTTACGCTTTAATATCGTGCCCCAAATAGGCGCACACTGGTGATTCCAGAAATGCGATAATCACAGGTATAAGATGTACCGAACAGGAAAACTTGTCTTATGCCCAACAGTAGTTGTACAGTTAGCATATTTATGAGTGAGTGGTTACATTATATTTGAAGGAATACTTGTCGAGTCTAGATGCCTTGCTTCTTTACCTGTTAGTGAGTTTTACATCTTTTGTTAGCAAGTATACTTTTCAAGATTTCATCGAGTGTCATTGGTTAATATGGTACTTGTAGATGTTATGAAATGTACGAATAAAAAGTAAATGCTTACCAATCATTAACATGTGTCAGTTTATTAAAATCATTAAATTGAATTTTTCTATACTTTATGGTTATTCTAGTTTATATTTCATCACGTGGCACACAATTGTACCATTGATTTGTCTATTGCTTAAACATTCAGTTATCTCAATTTTGATAACTATTGAAATGTCATCGAAGGTGTACACAGAGAATGTAGATTAAGTTCATAAAATTACTTAAAACAATCAACAAAAGATGAGTTTGGTTACAGAAATAAGTTAAAAATAGGTTGCACACGTAGAGAGTTTAAAAAAAAAAAAGAAAGAGAGTTTTGCTACACGAATATAAAGGATGACAATATGACATAGGGAGTGATCGAACACATAGACATGGGAGTCGGCATTTTTTTAAATTCACACATGACCCATGCGCAATGTGAGGGTCCATCAACAGGAATGTCAAAATTTTTGGGCTAACCAATTTTATTTAAAAAAAAAAAAAAGACAATAACTTGCTGACACATCAGCCTGTTTTTTATTGTCTGTCTTTCTGCTTGTCTGTTTATCGTTACACACATCCGTTTGGCCCTAATTAATTTTCATTCCATTCCATTTCATTTTTTCTTTTCTAATTTCAACCACACAATTTTTTATAAAAGAATATTACACATAAATTGAAAATTTTTCTTTCTTTTATAATCACTCATTTTTCAAAAAAATATTATTTCACCCATTAATTTTTTAACAAAATAGGGACCAAACGAATTTCACCTCTCTGACACAATTGAATTATAGCACCTGTAGGTGTTCAAGTTGGTGCAGCCTCGCCTTTGCCTCCCAATACTCCCTAGCTTACACTTAACCTCCAAATCTGCCACGTGTAACCGTAATTCCAGCTCATATAACTGGCCCGATGCCACGTGACATAAATTATCGATGTGTCATCACCTCTTTACTCCAGTCACCTATACATGTACAAATTGTTTTGCAGACACTTCTGATCAATAATTCGAATAATCGGCCAAGAAAAAGAGCTATTTGGGCTGCAAAAATGAGTCAGGAACAACCAAAAAGGCCTCAGGCAGCGGAGCAAGAACCGGTCAAATATGGAGATGTTTTTCAAGTTTCTGGCGAGCTAGCAAGTAAGCCAATTGCGCCCGAAGATGCTGCCATGATGCAGGCGGCTGAAACCACCGTATTGGGTCAGGTACAGAAGGGTGGTCCGGCCGCCGTCATGCAGGCTGCCGCCTTCCATAACGAAATGGCTGGTATTGTCCGCCACCGGGATGTCACCGACATGGCCGGAGAGGCAGGTGTTACTGTTACAGAAACTGATCTTCCTCCTGGAACTCGTATAATCACTGAATCAGTTGCTGGACATGTAAGTTAAGCATTTCCGTTCCCCGTCCACAAACCACAACACCAGAAAGTTTAGCTATGCTTAAAAGTATTTTAAGTTATTTCTTATTTTTTTATAATAATAGGTTGTGGGACAGTATGTTGAATCTACACCAATAGTACGTATGACAGAATCAAGCGAAGTCCAGTCCTCCATAACCATAGGAGAAGCCCTTGAAGCCTCAGTACAAACGGCGGGGAATAAGCCGGTGAATCATAGTGATGCCGCCGCAATACAGGCTGCAGAATGTAGAGCAACAGGTTCTAGCATCATAACTCCGGGAGGGCTCGCCGCCACTGCCCAATCTGCTGCAGCGTACAATGATGGATTGATTGGGGACCAAGACAAAGTCAAACTCAAAGAAGTTTTAGCGGTAAGTGATTTGAAATCAAGAAAGATGGTGAAAAGAAAGACGTTTTTCTTGACTTTGTTGACGTGTGTAGGGAGCCAAGGCAAAACTGCCGGTGGATAAGGCCGCAACGAGGGAAGATGCTGAAGGGATTATGAGTGCAGAGCTGCGGAATGATCCTAATTTGACTGCTCATCCGGGTGGAGTGGCAGCAACGGTTGCGGCTGCCGCGAGGATCAATGAAAAGAGTTATGCTCATTTAGGTAGTGCGAGCTTCGGAGGTCAGTGAGGGTCTGATGGAATATGAAGTATATTTGTATTTCTGTATTTTATGTTAAGCTACAATGAAGGCAAAAGTTTAGCAGTATGCGAATATAAATAAATACATTATATTATGTCATCTCTATCAGATTGAAGTGATATATATATATACATATATCCAAATTTTATTTTATTTTATTTATAATCGTGGATGTTTGGACCAGCTTACGCGCACCTCGACTCATCCCACGGGATTCCGAAGTTTACTACTCGAACTAGTGATCATTAGGAGCAAACCTAAGACCTAATTGGTTAATCAAAATTGAATCCCAATACTTTCTTTTTTTTTTAAATTATGAATGAAAATAATATTTGCTATATGATTTGCGGTGTGGAGTTTCAATTTTTGAGTTTTAAAATTTTTAATTTAAAATTTTTAGTATATATAGAAGAACATCAAAATGAATTCGTGCATTAATTTGCAAACTGCTAAGAGATTAAGATCTTAAAATACAAGAACATCGAATTAAAACAAATTTGCAAACTGTAAGTATCAAGATGTTTCACAGGAAAGTTTCACCGGGAGAGGGGTGGTGTGCTTGGATTGGATGATAAAAAAATAGATTAAAACAAACTAATGCAGTGTTGACACTTAACATCTGGCAAAAAACTTTGTGAAACTTCTCTGTACTTGATGTAAAATTGTTCTACAAATATTTTATAGAATTTCTCTCTCTCTCTCTCAAACATTTCTGGGAATATGAATCTACCAATTATGAACTCTAGTAGGGTTTGATGTCTTTAACGACTATCTGTACTCCTTTTTATGTTTCACGTCTATGTGACCAATCTTAAGCGCGTCACAGGAAAGTACAAAGGAAGGAACCACTTTTGTAATATTTTGAAAATGGAGACTAACATGAGATATTTAAAAAAAAGTTGTGAACCCCAACGCTCCCATCGTCCTGTCCTTAGAGTTTTGTGAGGGAGGTAAATCGCGGAATGTGCCCCCGCAGGCCAGGGAATAAGAGCTGTCTGTACATTGTGCCTACAAAGAGTCCAATTCCATGTTTCAAGAATCGAATCCCCACACTGCGACTACCAGCAAGGCGTGAAATAACCTTACTCTTATCCTTTGCACCACTAGGCTATACCCCGAGGGCAACTAACATGAGATATTTGCCCACAAGTGACAACTTGAGAGGCTTAGACATTTGCAAAACTTCATCATCGTTGAAAAGAATTGTCAGTCTGCCTTCATAAGATAATGGCGATTTTTATTGAACAATGGAGCTAGAAGATGATGCAAAAAATTTGAAGCAAAAGACATTTTTTGAATTGCTGTTTCAAGTTCAATGTAGAAGATTAGAAGTTAGTGCGATTAATGATCTATCAGATTGATGTTTAAAGATTTCAGTAATATTACATTTTGTTATAAAAGTGAAATAGTTTGTACAACAGTGTCAATGAATATTTAGGGCCTTTTTTTAAATAGATTTTGTAAAATGTGATTTTTTTGGAATGTATTATTAAAAAGTAGAGAAAAAATTTGGGTCCACCTGACAAGTTATTTTGTTGAAAAAATATATAATTGAAAATGAGTTTAGGAAAAATGAATTTCAAAAAATTTTGTACCAAACACGAACTTAATAGTAATATGTTTTATTATTTGTATATAGGCACAACGATGAAGAACTTTATCAAATGTTCAAATGTTGATTTCAAAATACAAAATAATTCTAAAATAAAAGTGAACAGTTAATCGACCGTTCTTCCAGTTGATTCCTTTCAGAGAAACAACTAAAGTTGATTATCTACAGCAATAATAAACTACCATATTTGGCAAGTAATTAAATAAAAATTAAGTGTTTAAACAATGAATTCTGCGTTTGAATTGATTCTTAGCTTTCGTTTGCTTTTCAATTTTTCTCCTAAAACGTAATTTTTCAAATCAAACATTAATTTTAAGCTCACACTCATATGATTTACAAGCATTGTCCATTTATCAACTACCCATTTTTTGAAAAGTAGATCTTAGAAAAATAAAATGAGGCACAAATAAATAGAAATTGCAACAAGACCGCGCGCATTATTGAAATATTGAAATACCAATTTTATTTATTTATGAAGTAATCTGATATTATAGCAGTACTTAGGTATTACAGTAGCTAGCTAGATGTCTCCAACTGACATATTTCTTAACCTCTTTATAGTTGGTACAACGCCTCATCCAAGCGAGGCCTTGCATGTGCCTGCAAAGGTTTAGCCAGAGTCAGTTCTGTAAGGACTTTTAATTAAAGATGGGCTTGTATGTGTGAATAATTGTGTGTTAAATTATAGGCTATCGAATTCGGTTGAGCCCGATTAAAGTGATCTAATAAGGTTTCGGTTTTGGGCTTTAATGTATCCAATTAAAGTATGGGTTTACATATGTGTAGAGACCGGGCCCAAGTCCTAATTCTATGATGGGCCGAATTAGGTCAAAGGGCATCCTCATATAAATAGGTTATGGTCCCCAGATCACACGCAACAGATTATTGTTCATTCTCTACTGCATCCCATCACAGAGAGGAAAAGGAGACTGCGTGTAGATTTGGAAGATCATACCGCGAAATCCATATTGCATTAACCATGTCAGATTCAGGTATGCTTCTGCTTTAATTATTATATTTCTTGATGATTTAACATGAAAGATCCGGTATTTAAAGAATTAAATTAAATTATCCAACAAGTTCTTCCTATGTAGAGAGATCAATCTTCTCCTTATTGGTTGGTAGGCTCCATGTGAACCCTTGAATCAGGTTTCCCAATGCCATTATAGTCAAAAGTGTACCAACACTCTGTCCAGTACATGCATGCTTACCAGTAGAAAAAGTCGAGAACCTCAAGTTTGGTTCTGACAAATCTACTTTACTGACATTTCCACCCAAATGCCGCTCTGGATTGTATTTCAAGGGTTCTTCCTAGGTCTCAGGGTTACGACCCAGTCCGATTCGGCTCAACAAGACATGGCTGCCTTTCGAAACAAACCCACTTCCATGTCTGTTAATGACAGGTGCGGCAAATTGAACGGAACGTGAGGATGCAGCCTGAAAGCTTCTCTTGCTCATGCCTTCAAATAATTTAATTGGTGAACATCCGATTCTTGAATCCATCGGTCTTTCCCTTCAACCCTGTCTATTTCCTCGACTGTCTTTTGGAGAATCTCAGGTTGATTAATCATTTCTGCCAGCGCCCATTCTGCTCCTGCCGCAGGGCCATCTACTCCAAAAAAGAACTCCTAAATAACAAAATTATATTAAACTATGTACGAACTGCCATGTCACAAAATATATAAGCAACAGAAATGACATTACACTGCATTGAGCTTTGATCTCATTTATCGACAGAAGTTGCTTCCCACTTTTATCCTTAAGCGTTATCATAATGTCAAGAAGGTCCTCTGCTTCTTTTCTCTTACCATCTTCCCATTGTTTGATTCTGGCTTCTATGATTGGATCATGGTATTTGTCAAAAACGTTCATGGAGTTCCTTACATTATTTTCATGGCCATCGATATCTAGACATCTCAACCAGGGCACGTAATCTGATATGCAAAACGCTAACGTGTGTTTGAGCACTGTATAAAGAGCTTGAATATGTTGCTTTTTTCAAAACCTGGTCCTCCATTTTCTCCACCTTCCCCAAAGAATCTTCTGCTAAAAGTCATCTTTCTGATTACATTTGGTCCATAATGTTTGATTGGTAAACTCAGATTAATTACTGATCCATCTGGATTATTGCACCGTTTGAATATATAGTAAACAAGATTATCAGTTTCTTTATTCCTCTTGTTAAGTAGCCACCGAAGTCTGGTTGGACTAAACAACTCCTGATTGACAATCCTTTTCATTTTCTTCCACTGTTCTCCCCATGGAGAAAGTCCCGTTGTCAAGAATCCCTGGCTTGCATATTCAGTAGCCATGGTTATAGGTCTTGACATGAAAAGAGAATCATGTTTATGCAGAAATTCTCGGGAGAGTTCTGGTGAAACTACCACTATTACATGAACCCTTCCCAGACGGATGCAGCCTATATTTGTTTTCAGTTTTTCCATTACCCCGTCTACCCATTTGAATACAGGCTTGTTTGCGTACACTTTAGGAAGGTTTCCGACTATAGGCCAGGAAAATGGACTAGGTGGAAGTGGTGGTTTTTTGCTTTGGCTCAAGATTTTCCCATTGATGGTTACAAAGATGAGCATGCAAGAAAGGAGGAACGAAGACATCCAAAATCTATACCCAGAAAATTGGATCTAAAATGGTTCAGATTGTCATGATCTTCACATTGTACATTAAAAAAATGAGGATAGGATTGCCAACTCACGTTGTACATTAAAGAAAATTTTCTTTGACCCCAATTCTTGCTTGTGTAACGTACCCGCCAATGTAACGTACTCCTTTGACTAGAAACTGACATGCAAGATTTCATGAACATATCAAGACCCAACACAAATACCACCTCATCATCTATCAACAGATGTATAAAAAAATTGTATAAGTAGCATAGTCCGCTTGCTAATATCAGCTTGTTTGTTAAGTAATTATAATCATTTTAAATAATAATTAGATACAAATAAATGGATATTAGTTGTAGATTTTACAAATGTGTAAATAAAAAAATTAAGTGATTAAAATACACCTACCAAACACGCTAGAAATAAAAAGCAAATGAATAAAGAAACCTACCAGATATGCTTTAAATATATGGATACAAGACCTACTTCATTTAATATCACATTATATTTTCGTGAGGATATATAGCTTTACTTTGGATAATATAGTTATAAATGATGTCTTGAGTATGTGTGTGTGTGTTTTTACAAATAAACTAATTTATGTATTATAGTTTTGAAAGGTTTATAACTTTTTGATTAAAAGTAAAAACAGGTAATTGACAATTATATATAACTAACTGAACTTTTATGCGAATTTGACCACTAAAGTAAATATCTTAACAATTAGAACCATAATATTAAAACCTTGTGTCTTTTCAAGGTTGAGGTCTTCCATTTATTCCCCCCATGTATTTTTTTTCCTTGTGCCAAAGGGTTTTATCGACATTATTCAGAGGGCAGAACATTAAACTCACAGTTAGGGATTCTGTTGATAATATGTTTGACTGAAAATTAGTTGAAATTTTTGTGCCCATTTGGGTACCGAACAGAATCTATACATAGATTTGAGACATTGATAATATTAATACAAGTTCTTCAGATGATAGGCATAATGCATATAAGATGTTATGGAATAAATCTCACATCGGATAGTTTTGGTAAATATTTATCAATATATAATGGTTTGAGTTATTTCCCTTAACAAGATGATCAATTAAAATGAAATCTCAAATCTTAACATGATATCAAATGTCATTAAACTCAAACGAGCTATATGATTTCAATTAAGACTAAAAATTAGCACATGAACTTTAATATTGATTTGCTCAAACAAACAACCGTGTTGGGGGGAAATATTAAGAGATAAATTCCATATCGAATAATTGTTGAAATATAGACCAATATACAATAACTTGGATTACTCCTTTTAGTAAATTTGGCATTTTAACATGGACCTCAAATCTTGATATAAGATACTTGAAAAATCTACTTTCGTCCTATAGACTTTAAGGGCCTGCTTAGGATGATGATGATGATGATGATGAGATTATTATTATTATTATTATTATTATTATTATTATTATTATTATCCATTTTGATTGATTTTGGTTAGCAACGTTTACGAGGGGTTGGTAAATCTAGGCTATCTAGCGTTTGATATTCTTTAGACACTGATTTAGGGTGATTTATTAAACCATCCAAAATAATTTTGGTAGCTTATCATATTCTCTTTTAATTTTACCTTTTATAAAATAATTATTTCCAACCAACATAATTTGTTCATAACTAACCTATAAATAAAAATACATTAACAAAAAAAATTACTTATAAGCAAATTATACTTAAAAAATAATTACTTTTGTGTAAAAAAATGTTTATAAAGTAAAATACATCTAAAAAACATAAAAAGTATAAAATTCACTCATGTATAAAAATTATTGAAAATTACAAAATTTAACTTTTAGTTGTAAAATTTACTTAAAAATAAAAAATACTAACTTAAAATTTTAAGTATATATTTTACCTTTTTTAGTTAAATATTAATTTATATTAAAAATTTCATACTAGAAATTATAAATTTCAGAATCGATACATAATAAACTCACAAACATGGAATGAATTGTTTTAAAATTTGCTATGAAATCACTAAAAATCAGTCCAAGCATAAATGTTCAAAATCAATTTAAAAAAAAAAAAAAAGTCAAATAACCGATATTCCAAAACTCTCAAGTAAACCCTAAAATGTATGAAGTTCATATTTTTTAAAAGACGAAAGATAGACTTTAAGAAATTACTCCTAGATGGATAAGACGAATCCATATTTGTTTTATTGATTTCACAAAAAATATTAAAAACGTGATAAGATTCAAATAGGGGGAAAAATAGTAGTAAGCTACTTTTGACACGATGATGTTGTGCCATAAATTTTTTTCTCAAAAAAAAAAAAAAAAAAAAAATCT